GTTTTCTTGTGCCCAATAATGCATAATTTCATTTGATAAACACGTTTAGATTGAATGGTAATTTATAATCAGTCACAAGAACATCGAATGTGAATCACTTGAAAAAAACACGGGGGTGCTTAACTTTTTTCCAGGTGTATATGTTAAAATCAGGACAACATATAGGGGTGGTAAGAATATCTAAAGGGGCAATTTGGAGTGAACAAGTCATGATACAGATAAGTGAATATTGGAATTTATTTAAATATTTTCTTTTGAAATTAAAACTTGTATAATATTAAAATTTGATTTTTAACTATGTTTTGATGTGAAGTTTATAATATATATTGATAATAAAGTATAATTAAATTTTTAAAAGGCCATGCACACATTGACCTACTGGTATCTAGAGGATTAAGTGATGTATGATAATCCAGTGATGATGTAGCTTTAAGTACAGGTGCGAACGTTACTTCTAGAACAGTAAGATACACATTAGCACGAAGTAGTGTCAGTGGATGATTAGTTGCTCTCGAAACATTGCTTAGGAGAGAGAACCAAATCAAAAGGTTGAAATGAGCATCAGACTTCAAACAATGGGTATAGCAAAGGTGGAAAAGAGTGCTCTCTACACATGGATTCAAATTGGTAAAAATCGACGATAGTTTCTTTTATGGCAGAGAGAAGAATGGTAGTACAGTCAGTGAAGAGTATCTACAGTGAAATATGCTAGGAGACCAATACAAGTGTTGGCTACATCCCAGTGAGTGGTGTTGGAGATCTACACAAAATTAGATAGCAATTCTGACTGCTGATAAGAAACAAGCAGATTCTTGCTCATCATATCATTACTTCAGGAACAAGAACTGTTGGACAGGGTTTGATCTTCTAGCAAGACAATGATCCCAGTCATGCAACAAATGTGGCGACATGATACCTGGAAGGTAATAGAGGCCAGTGGAATACTTGGAACCATGGCTCAGCCTTCAAAAGTTCACACAACAAATATAATTAAGGCTGTTTGGGGTTATATGATAACTGAGAAGGTTAAACAGTAAGCAAACAACTTGTTTGAATTGTGAAGAGTAAGTAGTACAGGACATTTGGAGCAATATTTCACAATCATACATTGATAAACTTACAGTATTATAAAAACTTGACATACTGCTCTGTTTAAACCAAACTAAATAAATGTGCATTGTATAATTTATTCACTTTTGGACTGTATTTTCTATAATAAAGTATTGTACTGTTAATTGACATTTCAGTTGCAGTGACTTAATCTTTGACTTCTGTATGTTTATCATCTATGTGTTTCCATAATTATATCCAATACTGTCATGAATCTTATCATTAAACAGTGAAATATTCTGACCATATCACCCCATTGTATTGAATTTCAAACCACGATGTTTAAATATTTTTCAATTTAGCAAGAAATATATGTGTAACAACTATTAACACAAGTTAATAAAAAACACATTTTGCTGAAATATAAGAAAATGTTTTTCAAATTCATGAAGTACTTTAACAAATGTACAAAGTTTTATGGTTTTCTTATTAAATAATAAAGGGGCATAATGTGCACTATTTTGTTATTGATCAATATAATTTCCTTTATGTTCAATTTCCCAATCAACATTCACACTTGTGAGGACAATAAACTGTCTTTCACGTACAGGTTCATTACTTTCATCTAACACTTGGTTCTGCTGGAAAATGACTACTCCAATTTTACATGAGAGTTTCAAGCCACCTAGTAGTGTATCCAATACAATATTTAGTATGTTTATACTTATGTAACATTTGAACTTTTAAATGTAGATATTAGATCATTAAGCCCAAGAAATTAAAGTTTATATACATACATCATAATTCAACTTGTTTGTAATATAATTAAAATTGCTTGTTTGCTTCTGTATTTTAGTACTAAAATATTTTTTTTGTTTAGCTACATTCCAATTTGGCTGTTTAGCTACCATATTTTATGGCATCTAAGATGCACTTTTTTTTCCTGAAAAAACCTGTAAAAATCATCCTGCATCTAATAATGTGAAGTTAAAGAAAATGCATCTCTCAGTCTTTTCCCAGACAACTGTAGATTAAAATATAAAAATTAGTGTATTCAAAAACTATATGATTAGGCTTATAATGAATGAATAAATCTTGCTAAATATACGAGTGGATTTATAATCGATAATAATAATTCAAGATGATTAGCATCAGTATAGCTGAATAGTTCACCTGGTTCTTCAGTGCTAAGTAGTAAGTGTTTCTGAATTCTCATGAATACTACTGTCTACTACAGTTCCTATTTGCAACATGCAACAGTTCTTAAACCGCTTAAGTGCAAAAGACACCCTGGCCTTTTTTTCTTACTGCCACGTCGGGCCAGTACAGTTTACTCGCTGGGGTCACTGATATCCATAACGAACGCCAACGGAAATATGCTTGTCATTTGAAAAATAATCTATTACTAACATCTCCTTACCCTGTAGAGACTAACAGTGAATTCTGCTCTTTCTATTGGTTATAAAAATTCAATTCAAGGACATATTACTTTGGAATGTGAACTGGTGTAAAGCAGATACCGCTATATATTAATATGCTGTTATAACACCTTTTATTACTTTATGTGTAATGAATTATGCTTTTCAGTTGTATAATGAGCTCCTGGCTTATATTTTTGCCTCTTCCCTGGCTGTGCCGGGAAAATTTATTGCTACCGACATTCTTGACCTGTTAGGATTGAATAACATTTAATATGATGCACGTATGATATTTTCATTGAAATAGGTTTTCTTGATATGCAGGACATTCTTGACCTGTTAGGATTGAATAACATTTAATATGATGCATGTATGATATTTTCATTGAAATAGGTTTTCTTGATATGCAGATTTCAGGTTTGATGTTATTTGGAGTAAATGTTAAATGCTTTGATACAATCAAATTTTTGTTTTTGCCAAAATATGGGTACATCTTATATGTTGTAAAATACTGTATATATTATTCAATATTATTATTATTCAAGTAGTTATAAATAGTATGGTTTACAATACCTATTTAAAAGGTATTTTGAGTTAAGAACTTTTTGAAATTTTGATACAAGTCGTATGTATTAGTTATTTTGTATGCTCGATGATTTAGAACATTTACCAGGATCTTTATAAATATAAGCCTGTAAAAATTTTCTTATGAAATAATTGTCATTCAAATTTACCATTATTATGAATAAAGGTGTAAAGAAATGGAAGTTGATAATTAATACTTTTTGTTTTCCTTACAAATTTAGCTGCTTTAGCTGCATAAATCAGAAGCATGATGTGAGGTACAAATTTCCTTAAATAGGAACGAGTAAAATGTAAATCATGATTAGACCAAACTTGAGTTAACGTTGGGATTAATATTACAGACCAGATGGATACCTATATGACAAAGAAGCTATTCTTGAGTACATAATCCATCAGAAAACGGAAATAGCTCGGAAGTTAAAGGAGTATGAAAAACAAAAGAAAAAAGAGCAAGAACAACAGTTAGAACTTACTGAAGCAGAGAGGAGGAGTAATGAAGAAAAATTTTTTAAATCGGAGAAAAATATTATAAGCAAGCCCTCTAATCCATTCAAAGGTATGCTTTTAATTTTGTGGATGTTAAAATGTCATTTTAACAATAAATTCTAGAAAAACAAATATCACAATGAAGTTCTAGATTTGTACTGTAATAATGAGGTTGACACACATAACTAATTTAGGAGTTTTTCACTTTGCTCTTATTTTAAGCATAGACTACAGATATACTTGAAATGGTGCTTTTCTATTATTTGTGTAATTTTATTAACCTACAGTATGAATGTGAAATTGTTACTGATAATATGTAGGCAAACAATGATTTATAAGCATGATAAAGTGATTTATTTTAGGGGGAATATACTACATGTTTCGACAGAATATTGATCTGGCTTCTTTAGAAAAAGACACCAATGTTCTGTCAAAACATATAGTATGCCCCCCCCCCAAAAAAAATAAATTGTTGTTTGCCAACTAATTATTATATAAGAATAATTTTCTTCCTTACTCAAGCTTCTAACTGTTAAATTTAACACATGACAAAACTGAATTCAATGTTTTGTCTCTTCAGGGATCAGAATATTCCATTCCTGCATTCCCGATAAATTTAATCTTTTTAGTTTACTTTTTCGATTGGGAATGGTCCATCTATATTCCTTTAGTTATGACCAGTGACAGTGAACATATTGCAATGATCAAATAAACAAAAAAACATTTCATCAGGAAATGTAATTTTATTTCGTTATTTCTATCTGAATATTTTGAAAACAATTATTTTTTTTAAATATAAACTTTTTTGGATTAATTGATATTTAGCAAGATGTTTGTTATAGTTTTTCAATAGTTAAGTTGTCGGTATCCAATTTATCTTTTTTGTTGCAATCATAATTTTGTCAATATGAAACTGTTGCTAAGATTACCATAGATCCAGCTTCAGACTGAAAAACAGACATATTGGATACAAGCATCTTTCTAGATCCATCGTCAGACTTGAATATTTAAAAGAAGCCTGTATCCAACATGTCTGTTTTTTGTTACAATTATTGTAATTTTTCAGTCTGAAGATGAATCTAGAAAGATGCTTGTATCCAATATGTCTGTTTTTCAGTCTGAAGCTGGATCTAACAAGAAGCCTGTATCCAACATGTCTGTTTTTTGTTACTATTATTGTAGACATGTTGGATACCAGCTTCTTGTTAGATCCAGCTTCAGACTGAAAAATTACAATAATAGTAACAAAAAACAGACATGTTGGATACCGGCTTCTTGTTAGATCCAGCTTCAGACTGAAAAATTACAATAATAGTAACAAAAAACAGACATGTTGGATACAGGCTTCTTGTTAGATCCAGCTTTAGACTCTGAAAAATTACAATAATAGTAACAAAAAACAGACATGTATTTTTTGTTACTATTATTGTAATTTTTCAGAGTCTGAAGCTGGATCTAGCAAGATGTCTGTATCCAACATGTCTGTGGGAGAAAATGCAAAATTACCTAGCTTTTGGATTCCTTCTTTGACTCCTAGCTCCCAGAAAAACAAACTCCAGAAACCAGTAAGTTTTTAAATTATATTTTCAAATAACACTAAACAAAGTTGCACATGTGTAAAATAGAAATAATTTAATTTCTGTAGTTGTTGTGTGGCCAGGAGTATAAAATGCATGTTTTTATCTATCTAGTCTGAATGATTTATTACACCATGTTTCAATTAGCAGGTTTAAACTATTGGGATGCCAATAGTAATTTTACTTCTTGGGTGTTGTGTAAGTATTAAACTTACCTATGTGTTTTGTCTATTTCTTCTCAGTTTCTTTGCTAGATGGCTTTCATTTAGACACTTTCCTGATATAATTAATATAGCTGTCCCAACTTCTGATTGGCCAAAATTTTATTGAGTTTGGTTTAAGTACAAATGCTTTTGTCTTTGCTTCTGCCTATTTTTAGTATATTTTTGCCACCAGTAAACATTCAGAGCATATAATTTGGTCATTGCAGTCTGCTTTATAAATTAATGTTTTTAGATGTATTTATAAGAAGACAATTGTATTTTGACTATTAAAGCTTAAAGTTACTGATGTATAAGATGAAAGACGTAAAAAAAAAGATTTCTTCCTACTAATCAATGAAGAATCTAGGTTACATTTTACTAAAACAAACACTGAAAATCCAGTCTATATGTTTGTATACTGTGTTGTGAAAGAACATGTTTCGATTTCATCCGTTTTTCCAGGATACAACAGTGTACTGTCCAATGAGTGGCAAACCACTGAAGGCCAAAGACCTAATTCCTGTCAAATTTACTTTAATTGACCCGTCAGACAAAAAAGTGCTAGTAGCAAAAAGTGTAAGTTAATTATTTAGTACATTTTATTGTTCATTTATATTAGTCAGTAGTGGCCTAGAAGTTATCTTATACTGTAGGGTTTTAAATGATAGGAAACATTACACTTGATCTTTCACTTCTGGATTGTTTTAAGACTAGCAAGACATTGATGAAGTTGATTTAACTGATGTTAATTTCTTTTAAAAATCCACACTGGTGGATATTGATGTAATGTAGCCCTTATCTCCTGTTAGTTGTATTTAAAAACATTGATCCTAGATAAAGGAATCCTTGTTATGAATATATTAGTTTAGTTGAAATAATAAGGAAGTCTTTTATTTGCATACAACAGTTTTTATATACATATATAATTATCAGCTTTATATTAATCTTGTAGTAGTTCTCAAAACAAGGTTATTGTGTGTTAAACATTGAGCTGTCTTTATAATCACACAATTCATAGCTATTCTATTAGGAATTAGACACTTGTAGTGCTCTTAAGTGAATAGGTAAAAACTCCACAGTGAATGAAGCATTTTAGATAAAGTGTGACAAAAAACATCATATCTTCTGAACTGACCTAGTATATTAATTGAGACTTACTAAGTAGATCTGAGAGTAGTGTGTTTTCCATATTATCTTATGTACAGCAAAGTGTTACTTACTGATTGACACAACTTAGTTCTTTCATAAAACATTAACAAATATTGTTTTATATTGTAGGAGAGGTACAAGTGTGCCGTGACACACGACGTATTAGGAAACTCTGTTCCTGTTGCCTTGTTAAGAACATCGTAAGTTTCTGTCTTATTTCTCGGGTCTGTTAAAATAAAGAACTGTGAATAACTGAGCAAGTGTGTTAGATTATAAGTAATGTAGCTTAGAAGCAAAGATGACAGTGTTTGGTTTACGGTCAGCTAAGGATGCATCTCCTGTATCTACAAGCTTTCTTTAGTGCAGAACATCTTATGTTATAGAATGGACAAATTCAGGAATCCTGTCTTCAAAATTATATTTTAGTTCTCTTTCTGGATCCCATAACGAAGTACAAACTTTAAGGTGTCTAGTACATGTTTAAACTAATTGTTTCATTTACAAGCTGAAGTAATAGCACATATTAATTAGTGCTGGTTATAGGATTTTTTAACATTTTCAGTGGTAATGTAGTGACCATGGATTGTGTCGAAAAACTCATCAAGGTAGACATGATTGATCCCACAAATGAGAAGAAACTAACAGATAAAGATATCATACCTTTCCAGAGGGTAAGATATTTAACTCTTAATATTTTGTTTTTAAATCATGCACCTACTATTAGATAGAGTAGAAGTAAAATCCTATGTGTGTATCTTGCTTAAATAAGAGATGTTAGATTTCAGAATATCTTTCGTTATTCCAGTAGGAAATGTAGTATGACATAAGAAGGAGTGAAAGTTTGCATACATTACTCTTGACTGCTTAATTCAGTAAATTAATTCCTGTATATTTAATATTGGTTTTATCATATTTGTAGGGTGGTACAGGATATGCTAGTACCAATACCAAACTTGAAGCTGCCGTAAAAAAACCTGTGTTGACAGCATAAGAAAAGGATAGCTTCCCATGATGTAGAAAGAACATAAGAGGTATAAGCTAGTCAGTCCGTATTACTTTATAAATAGTAGTTATTATTTGTAAGGTTCTGTCCTTCTGTTATGTTCAATTAACACTTCATTGGATAGCACACACATTCATTCCGTGTAAGATTTTAAACTTGGGCTATTGAACAGCTGTTAACCATGTTCACAGTTTTCTGTTTATCCTACATAAACTGCAGGGTAACAGTTAGGAAAACTTCTATTTTTATTGTCTAAATTTCATGTGTTTATAAGTTACAAACTATGAAATACTTTTTAACTGGACATCGTAGCCCTTATGTTATTCCTTGTTTTAATTACAATTCTAAACTGACTGATAAAAATATACTAAAACAAATAAAGACTATTGTATATCAAACTAGGCTTTCTTCACAGGCCCATAGCATCATTAACCACAACCTTGTGGTCCTGAACAGCTGAGCACCACATCCAACCCTCTGTCAAAAAGAAAAATTAGCATGTTATTAAGAATTATGTAACTAGGTCAGAACATAATTGAAAAGGTTTAGTATAAGACCAGTTACTTTAATGATTAATATACACTGAATCATGGTTTCACACAAAAACTAGAAGTTGTAAAATATTTTCACTATCCTCATCAGGGCAGATTTGTAATTCTTACTTACTTACTTGATAAATAAAATGAAAAGTATTTGAGTAAAAACTTTTTACTTACAGATGAGAAGATATTCTAGCTATAAAAATGTTACTCCAACTCCAAACTGTAGTCCAGGGTTTAACCTAGAAAGAAAATAAGACAGGGCACAGAGTTGTGTAAAATTGAACCCCTGTCTCAAAGCTTTCTGCAATAAATATTAGCACACTTATATCTAAATCAGAATGTTTGTGGAAAGAGCTTTTCTTTTTAACTCCTGAATAGTGAAAGAATATTTTTATAGTGGACTTCACCCTACCACTAACAAGGTTCCAAGCATTGTCAGGTAAAAAAAAGTGACTTAATTATTGTGAATGTCATGTATACGCAATAAACTTACTTATCTCCAGGCTGATATCTGATTGGCACACAGTAGTTGAGTTCAAAACGAGCCACGTGACCCACCGATAATACAATACCAGCTCCACACGCTAACCGGAGATTGGTCAACAGTGTAATCAAATTCTGGTGATAATCGTCGGCTATAAAACAGCAAAAACTTTGTTGGTAACTGAAAGAACAAAGTCACATTTACTAATTTGTTGATGGAGAAAATATCTTAAACATGCTACCATAATGGAATAAAACTTAAGATTTTGTGTAATATTGTACACATCTCTAAAGTATATTTTTCTATCTGCTACATGCAAGCCATTACTCATGTTTTCATACAAAGAGGAGGGGAATTTGATAAAGAAATAACATTAAACGGGATAATATGTAGGAGACTGGTACCTACAGAACTGAAAGTTTCCTATGTTTCCAACATTTAGAAACAAATGGGTCTTAAATAACTCTCCAATTCCTCCCTTGCCTGGTCGGAACGGAAGGGGACTGTATAGATGAAGTCCAGTTGCCCAGTAGCTTTCAGCACCCAGTGCATTGTCTGAGGAGAAGTGAGAATTCATTGTGGTTTATCAAATTACATGCATGTTGTCTGTAACAAGTCTACATGGATTTATACACCAATTAAAGAAAAGAACTAATTCAAATGATTTGTAAGATACTTACAACCTTGGTGTTAAAGAATTCTAATGTGAAACCCAAATGTTTTTTTTATATAGTGTTATGCTAATATTTTTCATAATAAACAACACCAGAGGAAAGAGAACACAGTACTTACAGTTATGTCTTGTTTTTTAGTTACCATTAAGCAAACAAAAAGGTTTAACTAAAGAAATTTTACGAGTAGCAGAATGTCCTGTGAAAAGAAACGTAAGGTGGGTTGGATTCGAGCCCATGATTTTACTAAATGGAGAAATACTTTTGCCAACTATGCTGCCAAACTCAGATTTCACTTTATTGGTTATTAAAAACACACACAAAAAGGCTTAGGAAGATTGTCTGGTAAATTTGAACATTTTAAACCCTGGTTTCAGATAAAGGGTTGGAGGAGCTTATACGAAAGTATCAAACCATAATTTAATGTCACATTCCATACATTAAAATTTTGAATATTTTGCTAAAGAAAGATGCTTGAAATGTATTGTTGTCTTTTCACAAGATCTTTTGCAACAACAAACGAGAGAATTTCCTTACTGAAGCTCATTTGGATGAAACAACTTGACTAAACATAACATTTGCTATTTATTAATTCTATTAACACATAAAACTAAGATTAATAAACAAACCTACAATAATTATTTTTTCACTTCCTTAGATTACTATGTATAATGGCTATTAAAGAATGGAAATATACCTTCATTGTGAGGACCAACACCTCGCATCATGAAGCCTCGTAAAGAAAGTGGACCTCCAAGGAAGAAGCGGTCGGCAATATTGAAAGATTTATCTAAACTTGTTCGTTTCATAAATCCACCCATTAATGATCCTTGAAGAATCTACAAACCACAAACCTTTATATTCAAGCAATTAATTACAATTTTTTCTCATTAAAACACCGACTTTGAAATAGTATCTTTGCCATTCGTTATAGATATGATTCTGAACACAGATATAGTGATAAATGTTCTTTTTACTCTGTCAATTAAGAATGTGTTTAAAAGTTGTTTAAACTGTTTTTAGATCAATTACTCTTAACTGTTGTTCCAGTTACGGATTTCATTTTTCTCTTCACCTAATATATAATTGTCTCAATGATAGCTTGAAAGCAGAAATAATCAGTTTATGTTTGGTTGGTTATTTAACAAATAGTGACTGACAAATATGCATAACGTCCATTTCCTTTTATTGATCACTTTGCAGAAACACATTCATCTTTTATTAGTACTGCAACTTTCCTGATAATATTGGCAATTAATTTTGAATTATTAAGCAACCTCTTTTCTCTGCATCTTCCCATAGTGACATTAAGCACTGTGGATAAAATACTATCCAATGTATGAAATTTGTGACTATCTTATTGTTTTGAACACGAATCACAATTAAATGACAAATGTGCTCAGCATAAGCCATTCTTATTACAACTCTTCCATATGTACCATTTTGGTTGAACTAAAACTATGTTCTAAATACAATACTAACTGTATCACAACCAAGGTTCTGGTTGAACTGAAACTACATTATAAATAAGGTTTTGGTTGAACTGAAACTACATTATAAATACAACACTAACCATGTCATAAACAAGGTTTTGGTTGAACTGAAACTACATTATAAATACAACACTAACAATGTTATAATCAAGGTTTTGGTTGAACTGAAACTACATTCACTAACCATGTTATAAACAAGGTTTTGGTTGAACTGAAACTACATTATAAATACAACACTAACCATGTTATAAACAAGGTTTTGGTTGAACTGAAACTACATTATAAATACAACACCAACAATGTTATAATCAAGGTTTTGGTTGAACTGAAACTACATTATAAATACAACACTAACCATGTTATAAACAAGGTTTTGGATGAACTGAAACTACATTATAAATGCAACACTCACCATGTCATAACCAAGGTTTTGGTTGAACTGAAACTCAAATTCTTGTTTGAAGAAACCTATATCACCACCTAGACCAGCAAGTTCCTTAAAAGACAAAACAAAACATCAGTCACAGATATATATATATATATTATACTGACTGTTAGAGATCAGATAAACCAAAAGTATACTGATAATGTATTTGTGTTGAAGAGCTATGCAGAAAGTGATTGTCCATGTTTATGTTGTTAGGCTTCAACTGCCAAATATACATTCAACTTGCCTTCCATAAGCTTCCCTAGTGAGTGTTTTTTACTTCATACCATAAAGCTAAATCTTGATCACCAAAACAAAAACACTGACCTTGGGAGCAGCAAGTGATGTAAAGGTGAAGTAACACCCTTATTATTACCAAAGCTGGTAATGATATTCCATTTAGATATATGTATTTTAATCTACAAACTTTTTGCCCATCTCTTGCATGACTAACCTCCTAAATCACTTATAATTTGAAATACCCTCCTCCAATCTTATCTGTCAAGACAGATGAATGAAGAATTGTATGATACATTCTGCACAAGCATTTCCTTTGTATTACAGAAAGGTTTGTCACTATCCTTTGGTTGTTTGTGTTACTAGTCCTTTTTCCTTCCATAATTACAAACACGAGAAAATACCTAGGCCAGTAACCTATCCATGTTCTCACAACTGTTATTAGCCAGCTGAAAAATTTTAGTTGCCGTAGGTTTATTTCAAGGCTGTTCTAACTTATTCTGCATCCCCTTTCAGTGACATGACATCCCACCAGGGGGCTAGACCCACAGGATGGGAACCACTGTTTTAAACTACATAGAAAAACAAATCTGAAAGTTGAAGAGTAAGATAATCATCATTAGAGCAGACTCATTAGTGGTATTTGCTAATTAATTAACAACCCCATTAACTGGTTACATTCAATTAGTACAGTGTTCCTCAAACCATGGTACATGTACAAGCAAGCAAAAAAAGGTTAGCAGCAAGTGTTACCAGCCTGTTGCCTTCTCTCTAGTCAGCAATTCAAAATTATGGACAATAGCAGATAGCCTTAACAGCTTTGCCATAAAAAAAGATAGGGTGAGCAAATTTGGAGGTAACCGAAATCAAATATAAAACCCTTGGATTATAAGCCACTCCCCCCCCCCCCAAAAAAAAATCAACAAAGCTGAACTGAAAGTAAAAAACAAAAACTTGTAAATTGGGCAGAGCACAGATATTCCACTATGTAGGTTTGTGCCTAATGCAAACAAATGTAAGAGAAAAATTCAGTTAGTTGTACAGTTGAAATAATTAAAATTAGTAATAATTAGAATCCCTAATTTAGTTTAGTTGATTATTTTCTTAACTGTCAATTTAATCAGCTGTTGGAACAATCAAAAACAGTAATAATCAAGACACATTTATTCTGATTAATTGATTATTTGTGTGATGATGACTACAACAAGAGTTATGATTAATCAACTGTTGGAATAATCAAAAACAGTAATAATCAGACACATTTATTCTGATTAATTGATTATTTGTGTGATGATGACTACAACAAGAGTTATGATTAATCAACTGTTGGAATAATCAAAAACAGTAATAATCAGACACATTTATTCCGATTAATTGATTATTTGTGTGATGATGACTACAACAAGAGTTATGATTAATCATAACTCGTGTTGTAGTCA